TAAAGAAAGGCGTCCAGTAGGCATGCTCCAGATCACAGATTTTGAAATTAAGTACAAATTATAATAATAAAAAATACTACAAATTTCAAAGCAAATAATATCAGGGTTACAAAATAATGTCACACGTATTACTAATGTAATATCATATGTCGTTGGATGTTAAAATTTGGACAACTGATGTGTATCCTAATAGTATTTATTCTCAGGATTTAATTTGATATTTTAATTTTTTCGATACTGATATCGATGTTCCTTTCCACATTCCTTAATAAAGATATAATTTCATATTTAGTTATTACTTCTACTGATATCGTTAATTCTTGAATTTAATTATTCATCTTTCAAAACGTTACATTATTTAGGTTTTATTACTTTATGATTTTTTTTCATTAAATTTGTGTGACGTGTGAATTATTTTCAACAAAAATTGCGTTTGGTTGACTACAGTTAAATAAATGATCATTAGTTTTATTAAGGTCATTTAGTTCATTTTCATTTCATTTCATTTTCATTTCATTTCATTTCATTTCATTTCATTTCATTTCATTTCATTTCATTTCATTTCATTTCATTTCATTTCATTTCATTTCATTTCATTTCATTTCATTTCATTTCATTTCATTTCATTTCATTTCATTTCATTTCATTTCATTTCATTTCATTTCATTTCATTTCATTTCATTTCATTTCATTTCATTTCATTTCATTTCATTTCATTTCATTTCATTTCATTTCATTTCATTTCATTTCATTTCATTTCATTTCATTTCATTTCATTTCATTTCATTTCATTTCATTTCATTTCATTTCATTTCATTTCATTTCATTTCATTTCATTTCATTTCATTTCATTTCATTTCATTTCATTTCATTTCATTTCATTTCATTTCATTTCATTTCATTTCATTTCATTTCATTTCATTTCATTTCATTTCATTTCATTTCATTTCATTTCATTTCATTTCATTTCATTTCATTTCATTTCATTTCATTTCATTTCATTTCATTTCATTTCATTTCATTTCATTTCATTTCATTTCATTTCATTTCATTTCATTTCATTTCATTTCATTTCATTTCATTTCATTTCATTTCATTTCATTTCATTTCATTTCATTTCATTTCATTTCATTTCATTTCATTTCATTTCATTTCATTTCATTTCATTTCATTTCATTTCATTTCATTTCATTTCATTTCATTTCATTTCATTTCATTTCATTTCATTTCATTTCATTTCATTTCATTTCATTTCATTTCATTTCATTTCATTTCATTTCATTTCATTTCATTTCATTTCATTTCATTTCATTTCATTTCATTTCATTTCATTTCATTTCATTTCATTTCATTTCATTTCATTTCATATTATCTTTTTTTTTGTAATATAAAACTAGAGGCAATGTTTCTTCTTACTCGCTCGTTTTTCGCAATGCTTACTATATTTTTAAGTTTCTTACAAATTGTGTACGGTATGCAATGATTCATATTTTATACTTATCGAATCTATAATTAATGGATAAAATATTTAAAATGTCTTATCTCTTTATTTTGATAATAATCTTTCCGATTTCCACTAAATATTCAAAATTTTTATTTTATTAACTTTTTGTTTGTAAATTTGGATCGACCTACGTATCGTTGAGATTCGCAAGAAATAAGATTAAAGTATGGAATTGTTTTTGTAGTAGGTAATAGATACTTTGAATTGACATAAAACCTCCATGGTGTGAATTTATCGGGTGCCTTTTCACCTCGCATTTATGAGGTTATTCTATGTTTATGTATAAATACTGTACCTACTATACCTTAAGTATAGTGAAAATGTATACTAATAATAAAGCTGAAGAGTTTGTATTTGTTTGACTGAACTCGATAATCTCACGAACTATTGGAACGTATTGTGTTGAATACTTTATTTATCGAGAAATGCTATAGACTATATAACATTACGCTAAGGCTTATAGGAAAGGAGCAGCAATGAAAAACGGTACAAAAACGGGAGATTATTTTACTTTTTTAAAGCTTTACTTGCGTAAACCGTGGAAGTTACGCAAAAATCGTGTATTACGAAATAGATCCCTTTTAAAAGTTCTAAAAAAAGGCCCCGATAGTATATGTATATAATTTAAATTTAAGTTCTTAACGCAGGATTAAATAATGTTTTAATTAATTCAAATAGATACAATAGTTGTCGCTAATATTAAATGCATATGTAATGTTAATTAAGTACACGAAAGTGTTATGTTTAGCTCAGCTACTTATCACTAGACGACACTGTTATACTTTTAAATCGGGATTTTGATTTTTGTATCTAATATATATTTTTTTAATAACATAACTTAATGAGGTATTATTAATAGGGCGCAATAATAAAATATTATATTTAACTGTTGCTACTGATCACTAGATGACGCTACTGCACTTATAAAACGGAATTTTGATTTTTGTTACTTATTTTTTTCGATTTTTATAAAACAATTTGCGATTTTGCAATATCATAATTTAATGGGGAATCTTTAATTAGATAAAAAAAGAAAATATTATATTTAACTGTCGCTACTCTTTCACAGCAGTTTTTTTTTTTTGAGTCACCATATGTGAAGAATTTTTTTCGCTCTATTTTCTGAGTTTTTGACGGAAATGTACATTAACCTATCTTTACTTCCTTACGAGTATTAGAGTAATAACTACATTTTTTGTGCCTTACTTCTTCCACTTCCAGTCGTTCCTTTTCTCCATTTTATTTTCCTGTTTATTATATTTTACGTTCGTATCCAACACTTTGCTTTCACTTATTTGACTGTTATGAATGTGCATTCAGATACTTTATGGCCCATGAAAACGTTTGTATGAAACACTTTTGTTTTGGAGCTCGATGATATCGTTGAAAATTGGTATTTGATTAGTTTAAGACGTTATGAAGGTCATAAGTTATATTTTATCCCTAAAACTAGCACTTAAAGAGATGAAAATGGGAGTGAACATTTTTATGGAGTATCAAAATGTTACCAAAGCAACCATTGTATAGTATGCAATTTGATTTATCATTGAAATTACTCTATTTAATATTATTTATAAAGATTTTCTACTAATGTGATAAAAATTGATATTTGAGTAAATGATTGATAAAAAATAACATTTTGAATAAATATTTAAAAAATAGTCAAGTATAAATCATTTTATATACGAAAGAAAACACAAACTATAGTTTTTGTGCTATACTAGATGGCATTAATTATACATCTACTTTGCACTGTTTTGGTCAAGCTTGAGCTTTCAAATAAAATTCGGTTAGCTTGACTGGTTTGCGTGCCGATCAGGCATTGCACGCCTCCGCCTCGTCTGGGGGGTGCGTCTTGAATGTCTCTGAGGCGTACTCCCAATCCGCGGGGGACCTGCCCTTTTCATGGCGGGCCGAAATGGGGGCGAACCGCGCGGTATATGGCCTCCAGGCCGATCCCGTGCATCGCCTTTCATGCGAGGGACATCGCTGGGTTTTAGTGGGTATATCCCTGCTCTTTGACTAGCCCCATTCTAGGGGGGGGGGGGGCTGTAGGGGGGAGCCTCACATAAACTCGGTTAGCCACGCTGGTAAGCCGGGGTATGCAGTAATGCATAAGGGTCGGTCACAGGATGGGTGATCAAAAAAATTATTATCTCAAGCTACTCCATGATTTGGAAGGTACGTTATATCTTTGGCCGCATTTGCAGTCGTTTATGCCAGCATGGAGTCATGACCCTCTACGCCGCCCATCTTTTTTAACCAATCCATAAGGAAGGTTTTTTTTGGCTCTCAGTAATGCATTACGCATACCCGTTCCCCTAGCGCGAGGTCGGCAGGTTATATAGGCCCCTCCCTGCGGCCCCACCCCCGAAGGGTCTAGACAAAAAGCAGAAGTTTACCCACTAAAACTCAGCGATGTCTCTCGCATAGAAGGCGATGCACGGGATGTAAACTGGTCGATGATGGTGATACTAGATGGCGTTTACTGAACCGCGTAATATTTATGTTCAAAAAATGTTGCGTAAATTTCAGTTTACGTTTAAGTTTAGTATGGACATTCAATATGTGTTTTTCTTTTCAGATATATATTTCAAATCGGATAAATAGCTTTAAAGTTTTCAGAGATAAAGTACTGTTAGATCAGTTAATTACATGTATAGCTAATGTTGTACCTTACATAAATAAATAGATACAGCTTTTGTTGTAGTTTTGTCGAAGTTGAACATCAATCGAATCATCGAAGTTGCCTGAGCTTTGTACAGCCACACTGTAGAAGGGCAATGACCCTCAGCTGATCAACGTTTTTTACCCAGTTGGCTACGATCCATTATACTCGTGTATCTTTTAATTGCAATTTTAACAGCTATGAGTTTAAATGTCGACCAAGCAATCATGATTTATATTATTCTTAGTCTATTTCTTTATGTAACTGTCTGGTAATCTCTTATAATATATGATGATTAATGAGCGACAAGGAGAATCGTTTAATTATTCCATACTAATTTTATACATGGTAAAGTATTAACGCCTTAGCCACTAAACAGAGTTAACTTGAGATAGGACATAGGTTATAATGAATAAATAAAATTTTTTAGAAAGTTTGCTCAAAGTAACTATACCACGCGGACGAAGACGAGAGCAAAAACTAGTATATAATGACTAAATAATATATTTTTATTTATTGATTTAATAAACTTTCTTGATCATTTAATTGGTACAAGAGGCGAGCTTAATACTGATAGCATTTACTACCTGTAAACCTTTGACATATAGATTATTTATACATAGCTTCATTTAGGTATTGAATCCTGCGACTTTTAACATTAAGATATTGCTTAATATTTAAACAGGAAGTTTAAATGACGAATTTTGATCATTTTATACCGACAAAAGCTAATTTATTAACACAACACCGATAAGATAAAGCTATTTTTCGTGAGGATAAATTTCGATAACGATAATTTTTATTAAATAGCGATGGCTAGATACCATCATTTGCCAAAGTGTCATGATGGTGAGTTCACAATCTTTTTATATTTTGATATTGTATATATAGATATATATATATATATATATATATATATATATATATATATATATATATATATATAAATCAGAAGCTAAAAAAAAATTCTCATCGTTTTAGGCGTACCGATGGCTATCGTTATTAGTGGTAGTCACTTTACTCCAGGGTGTATTACTTCTAAGTCCTATACCAGTACCTGATAAACAATGGGAGGATTTTGATGTACACCCTATCCAAACAGCAGAAGAAGAATGGGAACAATATAATGAATTGTTAATAAACTCCGATTATAGACTTCCGAGAACAACGGTGCCGGAGCACTATGTGCTTTCGTTGACGCCATATTTTGAACATGAGGATGAAAACCGCACCTTTACATTCGATGGAAAGGTCAAAATCAATATTAAAGCAACTACGGAAGGTGTTAATGAATTAATCATGCACTGCAATGATCTCACTGTGAAAAGTGTTACTGTTCAATACACAGATGTTAATAATGAAATTAAGCAGATTGCCTCACCTAACCAGAGCTTGGAGTGCGAAATGCCTTATAGCTTCTTAAGGATATCCACAACAGAAGATTTGCAACAACTTGTGACGTATGAAGTAGATATGGAATTCACTGGTCGTCTTCAATCCAACATGAGAGGTTTTTACCGGAGTTGGTACATTGACAGTACTACTAAAAGGTAAGATAAATAGTTTCATTCAAGTATGATCTATTTCTTAGATTCTATGCATCGAATCTTTTTAATACTGAGACTTCTGGTTATTATATTTAATCAATATTGCATTCACGAAAACATACTGAAAAATGCTGAAAAAATCCACTCAAGAGTACCAACTCTAATTTTTCCACCAAGGACAAAGTGGATATTTAAGCATTTTTCATTTAAGAATACTTTTCTGATTCTGTATTCTACTTAAAAATTTGGCATCTTGCCTTTTTCAGAAAATCGTTTCGCAAATTTCACTTGTCAACCAATGTTTCCCCTATGTTGCATTATAACAACTTATTAGCAAATTCTTGTATAACAGCGTTAAAGTTGGTGAAATTATTGTTAAACTAATTTTTATTATGACAAAAACATTTAGTATATTTATTATTTGTCTAATCTTTCACTAGGCCACACAATTATTAGATGAATAAAGTTTCGCCAATTTATCAAGTAGATTTGTGTTTAGGTACGAGTATTTTGCAATAAGTATAGCGATAGAAACATATAGGTTAGGTAAGAGTATGACAAACAACGCACGGGCCGATCGAGCGAATCGATCGAGCAGCGTTAGCGGCGCTTTTCGCTTTTGTAACAGGCAATATTTAGGTTAGTTTAGGTATTGTGTTGTCGAGTGCAGAAAAGAGGAGCGTGTAAGGTTGACAAATTAGAATGGACCAAACTAAAAGAGCATTTCTTAAACAATAAACAACTTAATGAAAATTAAGCTGACAAAAACATTGTGCTATTTGAAAGTTGGTATTTTGAAAAGTGTCATTATAAAAAGCACACCATACGTACAATTGGTAACGGTGACGCAAATAATTATTCGGCAAAATAAAACATTAGCTGGCAAGTGATAATCGCCCAAAAAAATTTCGACGAAATCCCAAAAAAATATTTCCATAAAGCATTTCAATATGAAACATTTTTGTAAGACAAGCTTTTGTCGTATATTATTTTGGAACAGAAATCTGTAGAATCAAATTAAACGAGCTCAAACTCCACATTGCATTGGTTGCATTACATAATCACAGTTATTTTTAAAGTTATTTTTTTTGTGAAAACAAACGTAAATTGAACATTCATCTCGTCATTTCCGAAAGTGTAGGATCTTAAAAGTTTGAAAAAATACTGCTTTTTATTTATTAATTTTGGATTCACAGTGCTATACTGGAAAATATTCATAAAAATCTTAAAAATACTTCATTACTTTACAAATTGTAGAAAAATATATAAACTGTAGGTATGTATGGAATTTATGGTTTTTGAGTTGTGCCATTATACTATTTAGTGAGCGATATGTTGTATTTTTATGTATGTATGTATTATTTCAAGAATCATAGACTAATTTTTAAAATCCTTTTTAATTTTCATTTGAAACACTCCTGAGGTAGTCCCATTTTGCTATCTAAATTAGGATTAGTGTTTCGTTTTTATATTATACTAAGTCATGAGTTTTGACGCTAAAACATTAGTTTTTGTTTGCAAAATAAAATACATAACCGACTTTAAAAAGTGGACTTAATATTTATCTTAAAAAGTTGGTTCATATTTAATTCAAGAATCAACAATTTTAGAAAAAGCTTTTTAGAGATGACTTTTCTGTTTATTTTGAATATATGTAATGATTATAGAGTAATATATTTTTTCTACATCAGATGGATGGCTACCACGCAATTCCAGCCAGGTCATGCGCGTCAAGCATTCCCTTGCTATGACGAACCTGGTTTCAAGGCAACTTTCGACATCACCATAAACAGAGAACCTGAATTCAGCCCTACGATTTCCAATATGCCTATTAAAACTACTTCATTAGAGTAAGTTTTTTGGTTTGTAATTTTATTGTTGCTCACACAACAACAGGTTACCACAATTTTGTCTTTCTGAAATTGATTATGAACTCTTAACTCAATGCATTAAAGTTTGATATCAACTTTAGTTTAACTGATATTATAACTTTTATATTTTTGACTATACACATTGTCACAATAGTCCGTATAAATTAAAAAAAATATTGAAGTTCAACCTTAAAGACATTGTTCTATAAATTAATTTATAATGTTTTTCATAGCAATAAAATCATAATAGATGTATGTAGCCCACGAGACTCAAGTTCCCACTAATTCCACACAAAACACCATATCCTAGGTACCTGTATACAAATAACAAACACGATTATTAAATTCTCAATACTCTTATATTACACAATTTTCATACGATACTAACCATAGATTATTTTATTTGATCTAACATGTTAACAGCGGAGTAATACGTAAGCCTTGTAAATTTATTTACTCGGTTGAGTGATTTATGCTTAACTTCAGGGGAAAAAAAAACTCTATTTAAAATAAATACAGTCTTGCAATGTACTTCTTCTGCTGTAAAAATATGTTATTTCAATGCAGATTAAGTCGATAGATTCAGTACCTATCTTTCTGTGGAAGCAGAATTGAGGGTTTTTATTGAAATATTTGTTTGTGAGCAAATTTATGGTTTCAAATAAATAAGTCCTTTATAATAATTTTAATTTTAGATTGTAATTGTTACTAAAGTATACGTATATGCATACATTAAAGTATTTATATAGAATAAAAGCCATATTTCTTAAAATTTACATCGTCTATAATAATAAAGAACTAGCATTTAATATACGAGTTCTGCAAAATAAGTTAGGTGTTGTTTTACGAATTTATCCGTAGGGGTAACAAAAGAGACGGTAATAAATTAATTTACTTTGGAATTAGGAACTCGTTGGGGGACCTGTACATATTTTGAACTCATTTGTGTGTAAATTTGATTTAAAAAATATAATTGTTACGGCACAAATTATTAAATAATAAGAATACTTACTTAAACTAATTTCTATGACTGACAAAATATTTGCAAACATAATGCTGTAGCTTTATGAAAGATTAGTTTTTTTCAATCAATAATTTAATTGTTTCTGCGGCAAAGTGCGAAGTTCCACTTCATTTTTCATTTATACAGTAGGTAATATTTATTATTATTTTCTACAGCACAGAAACTGGTCGCGTCTCTGAAACTTTCTACACAACCCCACGGACTTCTACATACCTTCTAGCGTTTATAGTATCCCATTATGCGGAAATTGAATCAAAACCTGGTGAAGATCGGCCATTTAGAATCTACGCTAGAGATAACGCAGGCATAACAGGAAAGTGGGCTTTAGATGTTGGAATAGACCTGCTAAGAGAGATGGAAGAGTACACGCAAATACCCTATTACACTATGGCTGAAAATATGGATATGAAACAAGCTGCCATACCTGACTTTTCAGCTGGTGCTATGGAAAATTGGGGACTCTTAACATACAGGTAACATAAAAATTGGAGAATATACTTGTTTCCAAATACACTAATTTATTGTAACACAAACCATTAAAAAAATATATTATTTCTTATTCACAGAGAAGCTTTGATTCTCTACGATCCTGAAAACTCGAACCACTTTTATAAGCAACGTGTTGCTAATATCATATCTCACGAAATCGCCCATATGTGGTTTGGAAACCTAGTCACGTGCGCCTGGTGGGATAATTTGTGGCTAAATGAAGGCTTTGCTAGATTCTACCAATATTATTTGACTGGCAAGGTAAAGTTCTTTTATTTTTCTTAAGCGCCATAGTTTTTGCTTATTTAATCTATTATTATTATACCTCATGCTTATCTCTATTTACTCAATTTATCCAAATTTCGGCAATCGCTGTGATTTAACCATTGAAATAAATTTTAATAGTATTTAAAAGTTAAGGGTTTCTTTGGGAAAGGTTTAAAATAGTGTAAAATAATAATTCCTAATGTGTTAAATACAGGTGGCACCTGAATTAGGTTACGGTACTCGATTCATAGTTGAGCAGTTTGAGCAAGCCATGAGTGCTGATTCCGTAGACACTGCTCACGCTCTAACAAATCTGGCCGTTAGTGATCCAACAACTGTCAGCGCCCATTTTTCATCTATTACTTATGCGAGAGGAGCATGCATATTGAGAATGACAGAGCACCTTCTATCTTACGAAACTTTTGTTAAAGGCCTACGAAGATATTTACAAGAGAGGTAATCAAATGATTAATTATAGTACTATGTGGTGATCGACCATGAAAGCGGATAAATTCCAAAAATGACATTTAACATATAGGTACAGTGTTATTACAAAAAAGATAAACACGCGTTGAACACGTGTTTAAAAATTGTTCTATTACACAATCGTATTTCAGCATTGGTTAAGGCAAAACAACTCTTAAACATTGTTTAAAATTTAAACACATATTAGGGAAAGTTAGACATCATTTTAAACAGGGTTTATATTCTTAAACACAGTTTAGATAAACACATGGTAAAACACTGTTTAACGTCTCTTTTGTAATAAAACTGATAATGTTTTACTTACATATCTAATAAGTTTTTTTTGTTTTTAACAGTCTGTTGTTGATCCAGTTAATTAAAAAAAAAAACCTTATTTGGTGGTAATTCGCCATATTCGGAATTTCCGTAATTGTCGTTAATACCCCCCCCCCCCCAAGCAATACACTTTAATTTTAAGCTCCTTACCTACATAAAGATACTTTGAATTGTTACTTAGTTTTGTGTTTTTTGCAAATCTAGGAAATATGATGTAGCCGAACCTCATCATTTATTCGAAGCACTTGATGTCGCTGCTGAAGAAGATGGTGCTCTGAATAACTATGGTGGTATTACCATTGATCAATACTTTAGGAGCTGGTCAGAGAAAGCAGGACATCCATTACTAACAGTTACTATTGATCAAGCTACCGGGGAAATGATAATAAAACAGGTAAAGTTTGAAAGCTTACTAAGGTACTTCCGCTTAATAAATAAAACTGTGGACCTTATTAGGCGAACCTAAGTATTATTTTTGCACATAAGAAATAACTAGTATATAATTGCATTCTTTAAAAGAAGTTTTAAGTGATTAGAGTTCAGTACCTCAAAAGAAAAAATGGATCCCTTATTTATAGGATCATTCGATTTTTCGTAAGTCTGTTCATCTGTTAGACAATTTGTTCGAAAACTACTTGACCAATTGGGCTGAAATTTGGTATACCTACTGTAAACGAACATACATCAATTTTAAACATTGATGCTACAGTTGGTGGGCTACAAAAATAAAAGAAAGCATTTACAAACTATATTGTGTGAAATGTTAAATGAAGTGGTGTTGCTTCGAGTATCTTATGCTTTTTTAAATTTTAATGTAAATAATTATTGAGTTTTGAAGAAAAAAATAATAATTTGACCATTACCTCTTATCGTGTATTCTGTTCATACGTCTGTCACAGCTAGTGATGTACATCTGAAAATTTCCGGAACTGGCAAATTTTCCATTCTCATTGTGCCCGGTAAAACTTCCGGGCACATTAGAATATTGCCGAAAATTCGTACAACATTTTTTGTCGTGTTACGTATAGACGATACATTTATTTTACTAAACTTAAGAAATTCAGTAGTTTTTGAACAGCAATACCAGTCGAAATTTACTGATGTTTTGCATAAGTTCTTACGACAAAATATATCGTGCGTGGTCATTCTTAATAGAGAGGACATTTTTATCATTCTCGCATAAATATAAAAAAAAAGGTAAAAAAAAAACAAATTTACAGCAGAAAGAGCAAGCAAATCTGCTACATAGCTCATAATTGGAAACTATGAATGAAAAAATTGTAAACACTTTTATGAATGCAGAATGTTACTTTATGAAAGAGTTGGCTCTTATGAGTAATTACTTTTATATTCACCATTGGGAATATCATTGAAAATTTTGCTGGCAATTAACTGGAAATATTCCTAGGAGTATTGTCAGGAAGTTTGGCAACTGTCTAGGAATTTTCGTAATTATGATGCTTTATTGCCTCCTTTTGTTTCTAGTCCATAAATAATCATAAAGTAACTTAAACTCAAATACAATATTTAATAAATATAAAATATTGACCTAATACTCCCAGTTGATCCCCACTTTGAGAATGCTCCTGGCAATATTCCCAGCAAAATTTAAAATCCTTGGCAACATACTCGGGCACGGTATATTACTAGTCAAAGCTCATTTTATTTAAAACTACTGGGAAACAATGGAAGTTGAGATTTGTTACACTATTTGATAACAAGAGTAGATATATAACAGTAGTTCGTAGTGGATAAAACCCGAGCCTAGTGATCGTGGTTGCTGAGTCAATTTCGTAAGTGTAAGTAACGAAATAGGTGACAAAAAATAATATCTCGAGCTACTCCGTGCTTTTGAAAGCTCGTCCAACCATTGTTTTCGGCTGCAGTCATCAATACCCTCCAATCCAAATTGAGCCATCGTGGAGGGTTATGGTCCATTCTTCTGAGCCATCATACCATAAGGAAGGCCTGTAGTAAAATCGTAAAAAGAGCTGATGATGCCACTATTTGAGTACACCAATTGAGTTGAAATTTGGTACATGTAACTTTGATAAAAAATTTCGCATAGCAAATAAAAAGGCTATTTTACAATTTATTGAATGCAATTTTGTTTTTAAAATATTAAATAAAGAAATAAATATCAGCGTTATCACATAAATTGCTCAGATTCCAAGATGAGTAGCTAAAGCGCTCGTATTATAGAGTATCCGAGATATCGTAGGTAAAACTACACCCAAACCCGAGACAATAAAGAAGACCAGGAATCGAATTTCAAATGGAGACAACTTGAAACCAGCAAACCGTCTACGGAAGCTGCAACCTCCGTAGTTACATGTATTGTCAAAAAGTGGAAAAAGAAAATGTCCTAGTAAATAGGCAAACATTGACTGTACCATGGAGTTGGTAGTTTATTTATAGTAGTTAGAGAAACCTATAAGAAGTCTATGTTTTTTCATTGAATACAGGTGTAGAATTCTTGGTGCACGAGTCTACCCTACTCTTGACTGTTTTTTATAATTATATTGTATAAACGAATAATATTTCAGGCACGTTGGGAACGTACGTCGGGTCAGTCAATTCATCCTAGTCTATGGAATATTCCTATAACATGGGCACGAGCCGGCGCTGCTGATTTCGTAGACCTAAAGCCTTCCCAGTTCATTACAGACGAAACTACAGTAATTCAACGTGGTACCACAGGAAATGAATGGGTTGTTTTCAACAAGCAAGCGTCAGGTATATTAATCAAATCAAATCATTTATTGGCTATATAACTCAGAAGGTTACACTCGGCAAGTCTTTTAGAAAAAACATTTCAAATTAAATACAAAGGTCATTCAAGTCAAACCATTATAGGAATATCAAAGGATAACCAATGTATAAGCATATTATAGTTACACGATGTTTTGTCTTCTTCCCCCGAATTGAAATTCACAATGGAATGCCGTGTACAGAGCTATGTGTTATATGATTCTTATCAGTAAGGATATTAATATTTAATTCTTAATAGGTAAAATCAGTAAAAATTTGGAATAATTTATATGTTTCAAAGCGTTCTTATTGTGTTATGAATTATTATTTTTTCTTAATATGCAGGTTTCTACAGAATTAACTATGACAGCATCAACTGGGCTCTTATCACACAAGCTTTGAGGTCGGATGTTACAGTCATTCATGAATACAACCGGGCACAGGTATGAAAAATTATGTTTCATTCATCATCATCATCAGCCCTTTTACGTCCTCACTGCAGGGGCTCAGGCCTCCCTTGTGGATGTTTCATTGCCTTTATCAAATTTTTATGAGTATCGGAATCTTAGAACTTTGTATCACCTTAGGATTAAAAGGACTTTATAATAAAACATAACTACTTATTCATGTAAGCATAATATCAAATTTATATATACGACCTGCTGATAATAGTGAATCATTATTGCGTGTTATTTGCAGATGATATCTCGCTCGTTGTACCAAGTACTAACAGTATAAATTTAAAGATGAATAAGTTAATATTAATGTTTCTTTTAAATATGTGTCCTTTACTCTCCTAATGGCCGTGCCCTTCGGGGTCCATGATGATATCTTCCTTTTTTGTAACTCCATTATCAAAAGAAAAAGAAATTGCAGAATATTGTTACTTCTACTAGTTCAAGAAGAGACATAATTATGTAACAATTATCAAGAAAATAGGTTTAGCGGTTCTTGAATTATATTACAAGATTTCCTCATAATACGAATTTGTATGTAAAATTTCTTTCATTACAGATCATAGATGACTTGTTCAACTTCGGTAGAGCGGGTGTGTTGCCTTACGATAGAGTGTTCAACACTATGTCTTTCCTTGAGTTTGACGATCAATATGCACCATGGATAAATGCTATTACTGGATTTAATTTCTTAATTAGGAGGCTAGCTCATGACACATCCAACTTGAATAAATTACAGGTGATTACTATGGTTGATGATCACAGAAGGGTTTTATTATGTCATATTATTTTCAAGAAAAGTTGAAATTGATTTTCGTATGTGGTTTTTATAAACTTTTATTTTTTAGAACGTGATTCTTCAATTTAGTAAAGCTATAACAGCGCGATTAGGATATGTGGAAATAGATGAGGAACCTTTCATGGATGGCTTATTGAGGATGTATGTCATGCAATTCCTTTGTAATATTGGAGATCAGCAATGTATAAACACTGGCAAGGAAAGATTCGCTGCGTGGAGGAGCGGAGCTGTCGCGTAAGTTTACTTGAAAAGTATTTAATTAATTACCCGTGGTGAAACAATAGTTATATTTATAATGGTTATTTGTAAGGAAAGTAAGGTATTGGTTCATCACCAGGCCCATGGATGGAATCTAATCGATTGAATAGTGGCCCAATCTCCCTATTCGATTGAATATTGGGTACGAGATTGGGCCAAGCGCTGCTGCTGGCCATTTAAATGTATGATCTATGTTTGAATAAGGTTTTTGTTAATGAGCTAATTGATAGCACATATTCAGTTATTTGTGCAAAACGAAAAGCTTTCGAAATCTTTTTTCTACTAAATCAATCATAAAAGTACTGGAAATTGGTCATTTTTATTCTTATATTGATTTGAAGCGATTGTAATGTGTTTTATTTTATGTCTTTAATTAGATAAAATGTAAATAAGTTTCAATTTGTTTTTATCGATATGAATCAGTAAGTACTCTGTAGCATTCTCAGGTATTTCATAGAATGCTTTAAAAGTATGTAATGGTAAATGTTAAACATAATGTTTCATACAATACCTGGCCACACCAGGTGTTTATACATGCATGCGTAGATACTGTATAAAATTTTAAATTATAGGACACCGGAGAACTATACTTATTATTATATGTATATGATAATCCATTAATTTTCTGTTTTCCGCGACTTCACCGCGTACATTATAACATATATCAGAATTAACCAATTTTTTTTAATAGGACAACTGTTAATCTTATTTATCTTTATTAAACAGTATTCCTGCAAATATGCGGCCATGGGTTTACTGCGTCGGCCTTCGTGAAGGAAATGCTGCCGATTTCGACTTTTTCTGGGATAAATATTTAATTGAAGATCTTGCTAGTGAACAAGTCGTTATGCTTCAAGCAGCTGGATGCACTTCTGATCAAAATAGTCTTGCAAAGTTCTTGAACGCTATTGTCGATGAAGAAGAAATTGTTAGACCACAAGACCTCACTACTGCTTTCAATTCAGCAGTGACCCGAAACGAAGTTAATACGCTCAGAGTATTTGAATGGCTTAAGAATAATGTTGAAAAAACAGCAGCCAAGTAAGTAGTTAAATGTAGATTGTTTAAGAAATACTAATTCGAATATGAAATTGCTATTAATAAATGAATTAGGGACACATTAATTGGTGCTGTCAATAAAGGCTTTAAATTGGATGAAATCCTAGTTTCTTTTTAGTTATTTTACGTAAAATTTCATTCTGTATCGAGAAAAAGAGGACTAATATATGTTTTTATTATTATTTTGTAATAATACTGTAAACGAGTACCAGTAAATTTGATTTAATGAATTACGTCACTACGTTATTGAAGTGCGATTTATATTATTTAAATTTCTTAACATTGTTTTTTATTATTTCAGATTTGAAAGTATCGCAACACCTCTCAGCTATATTACACCACGCCTTTTGACTACAGATGACATCGACCAGGTAATAGTTTTAATAATAATCAACATCAGCCTAATAACGCCCCTTTTGCAGGGGAACAGGCCTTCCTCACGAACAGTATCAAAGAGGAAGAATGAGCCATGACGCACAAAGATGGCTTACTATACATTAGTGGGGCTGCTATGGATTAGACATTCGCAAATGTAGCAAAGACTAATGGACATAAAGTGCCTTCTGAAGCAAGGAGAAGTTTGAAATAATCAATTTCTGGTCGCCTATTCTACGACCGACCTTTTGCGAAAGTTGGTTAACTTCCACTTAGCAGAACGAACGCGCAATTAGATGCGCAATTTATTACAATTTACATGACGAGATACTTTTCATACATTATGAGTTAGGGGTTTTATAAACTGAGTGCTATAATAGGAATCAATGAGGTTTTCTACAACGTTAAAAATATCAATGAATTCAGTATTCGACATTGACGCAAACCATTTATATTTATAACGTAAAACGATTTTACAAGGGGAAGGTGAAAGGGGGAGTCTTGAAAGTTCTTCTGTAAGGATAATAATACCTACGAAATTGACTTTCCTAAAATATTTTTCTTAAAACAAAATATATAAAAAAACTTTAAAAACAGTTTTTTTATTTATTCATATTCTAAGTAATAAATTTGTTACACCAATGATCAGCTGTTTACGATTTTTTCTTTCATAATAAGATAAGAAGATCAATATCTGACAAAAACCGTTGTGCATAATAAATGGACAGCTTTATTACAGTCATTACTTAGAATTATTACTTTAAATAAAGACACCTAACTATGTCTTTGACAATAAATATGTAAATTATATACCAGCATAAAATCATAAATTAAAAATAAATAAAAAAATTGGTAACTTATACATTGTAATATTTGTTTATTACAGTTTGAGAATTGGCTGCAAGAAAACCAAGATATAATCGGTGCAACTGCTTATCAGACCGGCATTAGTGGTGTGTCAAACGTCAGAAATTCTCTCATCTGGTCAGAGCTACGTACTCCCGAAATTGTTGAATTCCTTGACAATGGTTATGAAGAAGTTGATATTCCCGAAGTAACTGAAGCTCCACCTAATACAACTGAAGCAGCAGAGATTACCACTGAGATTCCATCTACTATGACTGAAGCAGCAGAGACTACCACTGAGATTCCATCTACTACGACTGAAGCAGCAGAGACTCCTACTGAAGCACCCACAGAGGAACCTACTGAAGCACCCACAGAGGAACCTACTGAAGCACCCACAGAGGAACCTACTGAAGCACCCACAGAGGAACCTACTGAAGCACCCACAGAGGAACCTACTGAAGCACCCACAGAGGAACCTACTGAAGCACCCACAGAGGAACCTACTACACCTGGTGAAGATGGTGCGGCCACCGTTGTATTAAGTTTTGCAGCCCTTACAGTTTCAATAGTTATCACATTCTTCAACTGGATTTGATGTTATAAAATTTAAAGTTAATATTTTTAGTATATTAAACGAATAAATATAATTTTCTATGGTAATGAGGTCTTATTATTTCAATATTGTTTTGTTAATAGTAATAGTTATACGAGTGTATGGTTTTTTAAACAATGGAAAATTATTTACGTTAGTTTAAGCCTTAGACACGTTTATTTATTTTTTTATCCACTATTTACTGAATAGGTAATCGAATGCAAGCTATTGTTATAAATGGTTTCATGGCCGACTGGATTACTGTGTTTTCAGGGTGGTAATAATAATAGGTAGCCCAAGGTCCTTTAATTGGGCCTCTATTATTCGCTATATTTCTCAATGATATTACATCTTGTTTCTCATATTCAAATTTCCTTCTTTACGCTGATGACACAAAATTTTTTAGGCAAATTAATACTCCGGGAGATTGCCGTCTTATGCAAATGGACTTAGATAACTTCTACAATTACTGTACTTGTAATCAATTAGATCTCAATGCCTCTGAATGCCATTTTATTGCCATAACTCGTTAAATAAATATACTCAAATTTCAATACACACTGGTCAGGTTCTTACAATGGTCGACACAGTTAGAGATCTTGGTGTCATTATAGACTCAAAGTTCATACTAGACAAACATGTGGAACATACTGTGAAACGGGCATCGAGGGCACTTGGATTCATTATTCGATTATGTACTAAATTCAATAACATTAAACCAATTAAAGCATTTTTCCTTCGTTCGTAGCATCCTTGAGTACGTGTTAGAAGTTTGGAATCCGACTTATAACATTTATATAGATGGAATTGAATGGATTCAAAAAAAGTTTCTAAGATATCTGCAGTATAATTGTAGGAAGTTCCATTCAAACTATGAAACTAGATGTAAAGAATATAATCTCCTACCGCTGCAGATACATAGAAACATACCGACATGTAATATGGATTACAGACGAAATTCCTTTTTCTGTAGAGCTGGTACTAATGTACCATGTCATTTAGTAATCTTGTACTAATGCACCATGTCATCTAGCAAAGTCATTTAGTAATCTAAATGACTTTGCCATTAAGCATCCCTCAATTGACATATTCAACATAAAACCTGTAGTTGTGAGGCGATTGATGACCAACTCCTACTTCGATTACAGTGTTTTAATTTGTAATTTAATTTGTTTGTTTAAAAATAAACAAATTTAAAAAAACCCCTGACGCCGACCTTTAAGAAAACTTCTGTGGAACATTTTTATTGCAATGAGAATTTGGATTAGCCAAAGTGATCTAAAAAGAAGCTATCGATTAAAAAAAGGCTAATCAAATCGGTCTATACGCTTGCAAGTTAAATAATTCAAAATAAATGCTTGAAAATAGCTACCTCGTCTTGGTAAAGTGCTTATTTGATTGTTATAAAATATCGCAAAGAATTACCACAATGAACAAGATTTATTATTCTAAATACAAAATGCTTAAAAAATCCACTTGGTTCCTGGCACCCTGAGATGGGATTCGAACCCATGACCTTTCGCAATCCGGGCGATTGATCTAACCACTGAGCTACCCAGGACCTAACAGGACTGACGAATCTTTTAAGTACTTGTTACTTTTCACTACTAAAGAGCGTATTCTCATCAATGTTCAGGCATACAGCCGAAAGAAATATTATTACAGATATTGAAACTTTCGACAAAGATGAGAATTTGTTCTAATTATTGTATTTGATTAATTTAGCATTCACAATGCCATTCTGCAAATTATTCTTACACAATGAGAAAATCAGCTGGTTGTCAGTTTTGTAAGGGAGGGCCTACTTTTTTTTCATATTTCGACCTATGTTCTCTGGGGAAAGTTGTTTAGTTTCGGGAGTTCTGTGGTAAAACTTATAGTATATGTATATATATGTAGATTTTTTAAGTATTTTGCATTGAAATTTTTTTTCAGTATGACATTGTGAATGTTAAATTAATCAAATATAATAAGATTTATGACCACAAAATCGCATTCAAAATGAATGAATATTCAGGAGCTACGGTCGCACAGACAGACGGACGAATCAAACTTACAATCACACCGCGGACTTTGGAGCACGCGGCACCTTACGTGACATCAGCAAGCAATTATCAAACTCGATCAATTTTCAGCCATCAATCATGGAAGACCTATTAGTTCAGCATCAACTTATGGAAGCTATGCAACAGCTCATCACTAATTTCAAGAAGGATGGTTCAGAAAGAAAAACCCCTTCTTATATCAACAGACGCTTGGACACGTTAGAACTGTATTGGAGGGAATTCCAAGAAAACCATATCAAGTTGTGTGAAAGCGAAAAACGCGACTATACGTATTTCTTCTAAAATCAGTATGATCAAGTGTCGGAGTTTTATACCAAAAGTCGACGAATCATTCAAATGTATCAACCAAAAAATCAAGATCCAAAAGCAGTGCTGCGACCCTCAACTTTTTTGAGTGCCATGGACTGGCAGCACACTGGAAAACGTCAATCACCTGACGAGAAGTGAGAGTTCAAGGACGCCTGCGTACAGTTCAAAACTGCTGGCAGGCCGTCGACTCTTTACATTAGGTGACTGACAGCGAACTCACCATTTTTATTATGATTTACATTATGAAAACATATATTATACTTAAGTGGATAAATATAATTTAAATAAAAAAACTATCAACAAAATAAAATAAAAAATCGACATTCAGTGGAAGCTATCAACAGTGGACGTGTTTCAAAGATTTATTTACAGAGTCTATTCACAAAAGCAGAAGAATATAACATGCACAAAAAATGCAATATCTTAAAAATAAGGTAAGAGGAGAAGCCGAAAAATTAATTTAAAATCTAGAGATGTGGTCAGAAAATTATGAAACGTGTTGGGATATTTTGAACCACCGTTACAACAATAAACGCAGGATTTTTAGTTCTCATATGACTGTCCTTCTCAGTTTACCAACCATTTTTCTGCAAGCAGCATTTGCAATTAAAAAACTCCATGATACAGCTAAGGAATGTTTACACGCTATAAAAAAACCTGGGTAACAATATATCAAACTGGGATCCACTCATAGTATACTTACTAATTCAAAAGGTGGATACCGTAGCTCATAACGATTATTTCGACTATCTTTAAGATCCTAGAGAGCTGCCAATCTTATCATAATTTTTGACATTCCTTGAAACACGATTTACAGCTTTGGAGTCATCATGACGCAGGCAAGAGTCGCCTAAAATCAAATGCAATATTTCGGAAAATCCAGTAATTATCAAGCAAACCCAGGCTCATCAAGTAGTTAAGCATTTACTAATCATATTAGTACGAAAACATTCCAAGCGACGACGACGTCACGTAAGAAGACACCGCCACCGTGCAAATTTATGCAATGAACAAACGGTTTTTGTCATTGGAAAATATTTTTAGATCAAACGCCAGAAGCAAAAAGAAAAACAGTAACTTTACTTATGCGAAAATTATCTTTTTGATCATTATGGCATATAACGTTTTTACGACGACTACGAGAAGGCGTTACGACTACAAAGCTACGCGTCATATTTAACTCGTCATCAAGGACGTCGTCTGGATACAGACTTAATGACTTGATGTACAGAGGCCCTAATCTACAAAGTGACATTTTGTCACTTGTAAACGGATGACGCCAATATAAAATTGCCTTTTCAGGAGCTATCGAAAAGGTTTTTTAGAGCTATTATATGTAACGAAAAAGATTTATCAAAAATCGTGTGGCACAACAGCATTAACGAGCTACTACGAGATTATCAAATAACCACAGTAACTTACGGAATGAAAGCTACACCGTTCCTAGCAATGAACAAATTGAAGCAATTAGCACACGATGAAGGTCATAATTATCAAAAAGCAGCGAAAACTTTAGATAAAACATATATGGACGACATTTTGGGTGGTAATTTATTTATTTCACATAATTTATTTTTGAATTTACATAATAATGGATTTTAATTGAAGCAAAAGGACTCATTAAAAGCATTAGGATTACATTGGAATTCAGAGAAGGAGTTCTTTTCGTTTTAATTGAAAATCGACACATCAATGACGTAACCAGTCAAAAACGTCTCTTATCAAACATTTTTGATTTCCGATTACGATAAAACTTAAGATGAATGAATGAATGAATTATTTATTCTGGTACCAACATGAGACAAATAAGATACAATTTTCAGGATTCAAATTACAATAAAATAATTAAAATTCATTAATAATGAAATAACATATATGCGATTGCGCCTCACGACTTCACCAAAAATAGGTCACCAATTCAGTTATGTCAGAGTGGTAGCCTGACGCTGGTTTTCAATTGGCACCTGTATTTTTTCCCCTTTTCGACTCAAGGATATCAGTGAATAATGAATGCAAAAATAAGTAACTTAAAACATGGTAAGTGATCAGTGGTTTTAGTTCATGAAATTTAATACCGCTAATCAATATATTTTTGATAATTACAAATCACAAGTAAATAAGCATATAAAGAAAAATATTTAGATTTAATCTTTAAATAATTTAGATAAATGTAATATAAATCAATTATTAATTAATAATCAACCAGTTATTGTTACTTAAAAATAAATCATTATAAAACATTACTCAGTTATAATGTTAAAAATAAATTAAATTTATAAATAAATATAAAATAAATATTATTGATATTTCACAATTCACAACCATTTCACTAACATAGACCAACACTATATTTTTAAAATCAATTTAGTTTACCCATAGACCATCAGCTCTGAGACTCATTGACATTATAAGCGCCGAAGTCTTTTTGCGTATTAAAAAGATATTATTTCAAAAGATATTTAAAACTAGCGATGGAAATAATACTCCTTAAAGGGGAAGGGATATAACTCAGTAGATAATGACTGCGAACACTGTCTCTTTCAGCATTTTTACTCTCCATCCAACTGAGTCTATTATATAAATGCTCGGGCTCATTGAGTCATTAAATTCAATGAGCCCAAACAGCAGACAAGCCAGGTGCAACTTTCGTCTCAATTTCATTTTCAATATATTGTGCTGTAGTAACACTG